GAGAAGAGAAAGAAGGGAGGAAATGAAAGGCACTGTAAAACATAAAGGAGCGACCTTGAAAACATTTTCTTATTATCTCCTCAAATCTAAAAAATTGAGATAGATTGAGTAAAATAATTTCCTTACCACCCAAAAAAGGCTATTTTTCTCTATTACTACAAAAACAATTTAAAAAATAGATTAAGTTTGAAAGCTGCATAGCTACTTCCTGTCTTCTTCTTTCTGTGTTGTCTTATTTTCAGTGGAAAGAAGACCTTTCATAAAGGATTGGGACAAGGTCATGAATCAATGAATGTTGAAAGCTGTGCACAGACTGTTCTACTTATAACAAAGAGAATAAAATATGCCATTTGTCAGAGTTCATACATAATTTCAATATTGAATGTGAGCCAACCACTCTTTCCCTAACTGATTAGGGATGTTATTGACAGACACAGCAGCCCCCCTCTTGTGATTAAACATGTGAATGCCTTCATTCAGATCCCAGACAAATCAGAAACCTGCTTTTGTAAAGATATGGGGAAGAATAGCTTATGTGTGCTTATTATGTAGCAGAGAAGATGATCAGTTTTGGTCAGAATGACTGCAGTGTGACAGGAGAATCTTTGCAACATTAACAGAGTTTTTGCTTTTTCTTATTTTTTAAAAACCACATGATCTTTCCTCCCTTCAGGCAGTTGGGTGATTCTCTACTTATCACTTCAGTGAAAGGACATACAGCTGAAAAAAGAAAATAAAGATGCCTTTCTTACCATTTTGCTTCAAAGTTTCAGCCATGTAGGCAAACGAAACGATCTAGCATAAACTATAGTTTTAGAAGATACAATGAAATAATACAAGTTTTCCCAACTGAGACAAAAACAAACCAAAACATTTTCTAAGTGGAGTAGAGGAGAGAGAAAAGAGTATCAAAGAAAAGTAAAGTGGCTTAAGAGTGGGTGAGGCCCTTTGGAAGGATGCTGAATCTTATCCCCTTAAAGACATCCTGGAAAGAAAACCACAAGACCATGGGGTCACTTGCAGTTATTAAATAAATCTCTGTGCATCCCTGTTTAAAATTTTCATCTTCATCTTTCCTTTAGCCTTGAGCCTTGAGCCTTTAGAACTTGAGCCTTGACTCCTGGCTACACTGAGGTCAGCATGGCCTTACTCTGTTTACTTACTCCCCCTTTTCTCTATGGTTCTAGAAAAAGATTAAAGAAGAAAAAACAGCAGGAGCTGCTTCCCTGGCCAACCGCTGACAGCCTCTGTGTGATGAAGGTCTTCCCTGAGAGAGCACCAGAACCTCAGAGGCCTCCTCCAGGCAGGGGTTTTCCCTTCTTGTCAGCTCCCTCTCAAGGAACACTTTCCAGAACTTCTTACTGTTTCTTCTCCTAGGTGGATCATGGACAGGTCAGCTCAGGCCCTGCTGCCCTCAGAGGTGTCACTTGCCTAACAGAGTACTGGCTGCTCCTCACCATGCCTTCTCCAGGAGGCCACCATGCCTTCACCCAGTGGCCCCATTGCCATCCCTCTCCACTCCACCACTGTTCCCCAATGTCCTTGTCTTCTACTTCAGTGGATCAAAATCTGCTTCAGAAGCAGATATCCAAAGACAGAAGGACATGAAATTTTATTATTTATTCAGGTGACCTTTGACTTTTAAAACAATTATTTTGGTATATTAACCTGTCAAGTGGCTTGCAGAGGAAAAGGGACACTGGTGACACTCACCTCTTGACTCCCCCCATCCCTCACACCAGCCAAGGGGTTGAAGGTCTGGGGTCGCAGAGCCTGTTCAGTTGCTACTTCTTAAATCCTAGAGTGTCAGGCTGTGAAAGTGGTGGATGCCTAATGCTCCTGAGTCCCTAGCTTTGGATCCTACTAGCCACATTCATGATAATGGAAAATGTCCCACAGTACATCTAAATGGGAAAAAAAATCTGTTTGGTTCTATAAGTCACTCTTAGAGAACCAAACAGAATCCCTATAATGATAAGAAACCCTATAGTTAAGGGCTTCTAATTATTCAAAAGAGAAAATAAAAATGTATACATATATAATCCAATAATTATGTTATATAAAATATAAGATATAGATTATAAATATGTGGGGGAGCTTTGTCCACAGAGCCTCCCATCCACCACGGATGAGAATAAGTCTACCAAGACATGATTTGCTTGGAGAGGAAAGGTGGCCGATCTCTCAAAGGAGAAGGACCAGGAACCTGTTCCTCAATGGGCTTTTATTGGGTTCATTTGCACAGGAATACAGATAAAGCTCATTAATCATTGTCTGGCAGTAAGGGTCAAACAATAGATAACAAAGAACTCCGAGGGCCTATTTTGAGTCTGGGTCAGATAGCTAAAGAGCTGTAAAACTTTGAGGAACAAACTTACTTCTTGCTTGGACCCTTATCATTTAATTGACAGCATTCTAAACAAAGCAGGTTTCACAGGATGTTACATATTCTTTCTTAGGCCTGATTCCCCAGGGAACCCGCACAGGGGTTTCCAGCACAGGGCTGCACTGCCCTCTGTCATTGTTTCAGGCTTAGGTGGAGCAAGGGAAGTAAGGCAGCCAGAAGATTAGGAGATTTCTCGCAGACGGAATGAGAACTCAGGCTTTGTCAAAGCCAAGGGGACGAGGGCCCATCACCCCCTTTTGCTGTAGCCCCCCAAGTCCTTCCTTGGGGGCCTCCCACGTGATTGTGCCTGTCTGAGGTCATTCCCCCCTTTGGGGAATCTTACCCATCATTGGCTAATTGACCAAGCATTGGGGGCCAGGCAGGGTGAAGTAAAAGGAGCAGAAGTGGCACTCCTGCCAGGGAGATAAGCTTTGTCTCCTTGATGGCTTACAGTCCAAGGTCACTCCCTCAGCCTTAGCCTTGGTGCGGGTTTCAGCTTCTGAAACCAGGCAGGGTGGTTCCCAACATAAATATATAAATATAAATATATTACAATAAAATATATTCCAATTATACTGGTAATATGAATTAATACTATATAGTGTCCTTAGGAATCTTTCTGGCAACAAGCAGGGCAGGATTTGGCCACTCTTAGATCCCGGTCAATATCACCATCTGACACAAAATCCCCATTCAAATGCATATTAGAAAATATTTTAGTTAAGTGATAATGACCATGTGATATATCAAAACATGGGGGATGTAGCTAAGGCAATATTTAGAGGCAAGTTTGTGGACTTAAATGCATTTGTTAGGAAAGAAGAAAAGTTGAAAATCAATGGCCAAACTTGCAACTCAACAAAACTAGAAAAAGTAGCTAGTTAAATCCAAAGAAAGTATATAATAAAATATGAACAGAAAAAAAAATAAAACATAATTTATCAATAAGAGAAAATCAAACATATAAAGAATCCCTTAGAGGTTAATTTAACTGAATCTATAATTTAATAAAGCTGTCTCATAAGTGAAGTGTTATACTTGGATAGCTTCATGAGTGAATTTTCTGAAAAAATTTTAGAAATAAAAAAAATCCTACACAAATTCTTCTATAGGTTGAAAAGGAGAAATAAATTGCAACTCATTTTATGGCTCATTATAATATTGATACTAAAATCTGGCAGAGACATTGAAAAGAAAAAGTTGAATACCAGTATTATTCAGGAACATGGAAACAAAACCTCAACAAAATACTAGCAAAAAATGTTGCAGTATGAAAAGGAAAATATAACATTACTAAGTGCATCTTATTCCAGAAATTAAAGTTGGTTTAAAATTTGAAAATCAGTATAATTTATAGCATTAATATATAATCATCCCAGCAGATAAAGATACCAATAATTTGATAAAATTTATTTTATATTTATGATAACAACTCTCAATTAATTAGAAATCAAAACGAGACTCTTTAATAATCAGATTACATAAAGGATATTTACCAGAAAAAGAACACTGTAATTAACAGTCACAGTGAAATACTGAATGCTTCACTTTTGAGGTTAGAAATAAGGAGATTTCTAGTCAATAAATTTCGTAGGTGATCCTAGCCAGATAAGTAGAGCTTGCTAAGTAATTTGTGGGGCCCACTGAGAAATGAAAATGCAGGGCCCTGAGTGGGACAGTGAGGTCAACCACCCTTCCCACAGGCCTGCCACCCAGACCTGTAGAGCACTGGTGGGGGACTAGAAAGCTTCTGGGTTGGTGAACACATAGGGGGTGCAGAGAGAGTGGTGCCCCGGGAGGGCATAGAAGCTCTGTCTCTTCCTTATACCCTGCCCTAAGCATCTCTTCCATCTGGATGTTCACCTGTGTTCTTTACTGAATTTTTTTAATACAAATAAAATTTATTTTCTTAAAAAAGGGAAGGGAGACTGATGAGAATCTCTGACGAGAAGAAAAGTGGAAAATGTCCATTGGCTTTATCAACATCAAAGCCACTAGTGTTAATGTGAGGGCTTCTGTTGGAGGGGTGCCACCGGAGGCAAGGTTCCAGTGGAGTGAGGAATGGGAGTTGAGAAAACAGAGACAAGTAGACAATTCTTTTATGTACTTTGATTATTAAGGAGAAGAGAAATGTAGAAATGTGGCTGGTGGAGATGGAAACTTCAAGAAGACTGTATTTAAGTGGAAAACATTCACTTGTAGACATGTGACCAGATTATTATAAGAGAATCCAAAAAACCAAATTTTAGGGAATAGTGTATTCCTATGCAGTCTCTTTTCAAGTGGCCCAAGATGAGAAATCAAGCCTGTCCACATCACAGCTCTCCCGTCTGAGTCTACATGAAGGAAAAGGACTGCCCCAGGAAGATACACAAAGGGACTGTCTGGGATACCTAGACAGAATGAACAGTAATCTCTGCCATCTGGCTATGTCACAAGATTTCATTCTCCATAGGACCACTTGGAAAGAAGTTCTGGGTGCTAAGTAAATACTTCATCGAGGAGGAAAAACAGCAGAGATGCCGTTATTCCAGAGGCTCAGCTGCAGGGTTTTGGTAGAGGGTGCAGGTGCCTGGGGAGCACTGTGCCTCCACAGCACAGAGGTAAGTGGCTGAGTCTTCAGCTTTAGGGGTGTTGATGTGCAGAGAACTCCCCTTCTCTGAAAGCATAGCCGTTAGTCTCTCATTCTGCTGTTCTTTCCCAACTGAATACAGGTTGAAGAGGAATTTGGGGCCTTTCCCAGGATCTTGCCTGTACCACTGCAGTGCTCTGAAAGCGCTGACTGTGTAACTGCATTTGAGGCTGACACTCTCTCGTTCCTGGATCCTCAGGGTCTGAGGACTTTGCTCCACCTGGTCTTCTCCACTCAACCCTGTTCAGGAAACCAAAATAAAAAATGAGACAAAGCTTTGAGTTCAGCAGTTTTGAAAAATCCCAATGAGAATTTTGAGAGGAGCTGAGACTAAACCACTGTCTTACTTTCCCACTTTTGGATAAATGGGTGCTTATAGTTCTCATCCCTGAACCTCTAACTTACAGCCAAGCTGAAGCCACAAGAGTATCACTGCATACTCCAGCATGCTCTCCATCATGATATCTGTCTTGACACAACTTGTAATGATTCCAAAACTTCTCTGAGGAGCTGTTTTTATGTCTTGTTCTTGTTCTCTCATGCTCAAGAGAGCGTTTCTGTTGGTGGGTGAGCCAATCAGGAGCAAATCCTCTAGTAACCATCCTGCTTTCAACATTTAAGGCATTTGTGAAATGAGAAGAACAGAACCACTGCCACCTCATGGTCACAAACACACTCACATGGTACCCACTTCATGCTACCTACAAAGAAAAAGATTGATGGAAGGACATTTTGGTATTTGGTGGTATAGATGAGCTTTTAAAAAATAATCAGAAAAGACTTTTCTTACTTGTACTTTTAATTGTTTCATTGTTCCTATATAGCCTTTAAAACTGAACTACTAACAGGTTAAAGGAGTTGAACCCAAGTGTGGATATAACTGATTATGCTCTCTTTATAATACACAAAAATCTCAACAGGTGAAATCTTAAAAGAACTGGAGTACTGAGAGAAAGAAAAATTAAATAGGTTGTGGATATGTCTAGAAACCTCTTTGACAGAGAATTGAGAACATAAGTTAACATATCTATTTCTTTTTTATTATTTATTCTGTTAAATTTGTCCCAATTTCTTCCCTTTAGCGCCCCTCTACTCAGACCACCCCTCTCTCCCACAACCTCCTCTCTGTTGTCCTTGTCCATGAATCATTCACACATGTTCTGTGATTAAACCCTTCCCCTTCCTGCCACCATTTCTCTCCTCCCTTCTCCCCTCCTACAGCAATCAGTCTGTTCCATGTTTTCATGTCCCTGGTTCTATTTTTCTCATTAGTTTATTTTGCTCACTAGATTGCAGTTATAAGTGAGGTCATATGGTATCTGTCTTTCACAGATTGGCTTATTTCACTTAGCATAACAGTCTCCAGTTCCATCCATGCTGTTGTCTTATTCAACATAGTACTGGAAGCTCTGGCCACAATGATCAGACAAGAAGTAAAAGGCATCTAAATTGGAAAAGAGGAAGTAAAATTGTCATTATTCACAGATGACATGATAGTGTACATAGAAAACCTAGTAGTCTCCACCAAAATATTACTTTACCTATGAAGAGAATTTGGCAAAGTAGCAGGATATAAAGTTAATATTCAGAAATAGATGGCTTTCTTGTACACTAACAATGAATTATCAGAGAAAATAAGAAAAAAAGCCCATGTACTACAGCAATAAGAAAATTAAAATACCTAGGAATAAACTTAACCAAGGATGTAAAAGACCTGTATTTGGAAAATTATAGAACTTGGAAGAAATAAATTGAGGAAGCATACATAGAAATGGAGGCATATACTGTGTTCATGGATAGGAAGAATTATAATCATTAAAATGTCCATACTACCCAAAGCAATCTATAGATTCAATGCAATTCCTATTAAAATACCAATGGCATTTTTCACAGATCTAGAACAAATATTAAAAAACTTTATATGGAATCAAAAAAGACTCCACAGAGCCTCAGCAACCCTGAAAAAGAAAAACAAAGTAGGAAGGATCACAATACCTGATATCACACTATAAACTATACTACAAGGACACTGTAATCAAGGCAGTCTTGCATAAGAGCAGATAGATAGATCAATGGAACAGCATAGAAAGCCCAGAAATAAACCCGTGTCTCTATGATCAATTAATATTTGAGAAAGGGGACAGAAGCATACAAGGGAGTAAAGATAGCCTCTTCAACAAATGGTGTTGGGAGAACTGGACAGGTACATGCAAAAAAAATGAAACTAGACCACCAACTTACACCATACACCAGAATAAACTCAAAATGGATAAAGAACTTAAATATAAGTTGTGATACCATAGAAGACATGTGTTTCTTCAAATATTAAATGCCTGGCTACAGGGACCAAGTGTGACCAAAACTCAGGGTCACAAACTTGATAGATCTTAGGAGGCAGGGAAAGAAGAGCATGCAGAAGGAAAAGAACTCCATTTCTAGAACTCAGAGAGATCAGAAAATCACTGGGAGGGTGACTAGTATCCATGTAAATCATAAACATTTTACATACCATAAGTAACATATAACAGTAGTCTTCCTTCTTCATTTATCTTTTACTACCACAGTTTATTCACAGAGGCAAATATCTGAACACACATGCACACACATTCATTATTTTCAAGCAAACCTATATTCTCCATTCTGTGCTGTGCTTTTTTCTTATGTAAAATAGCCACATGTCATGCCATTATATGGATATACCAAATTTTACTTAAGCAGTTTTGTATTTTAGATTTCTGATCTTTTACTACCATATATTACACTGAAATAAATATCCTTATACAAACATTTTTGCCAACATGAACATAAAATTTATTAAAAGTATAAAACTATGAAAAACTATACATTTTTTATTTAACAAGTATTGCCAAATGCCTCTAAACATGCAGTGGCAATTTACACATTTACAATGTTCCTGAGTACTGGTTTCTCCACTCCCTTGCCACCCCATTATATAAGCAAACTTCTCTAGCTTTCTTACTTCAATAGGTGAAACATGCTAATTCAGAGTATCATGTTCAATTTCTCTATTGTCAGTAAAGGTGGTTTTTAAAAAATAATTTAACTCTATTTGCATGCATTTATTTAAAAGGTCTGTGGAGTCAGAATAACAGAGAGAACACTCTAGCCCTATGGTTTATTTGCTGTGAGATTCTGAGCAAGTTGCTCACCGACTATTACGTCATTTTCTCAACTGAGTAGTTCAGAAAGAATAGTACACGCATGATAGAACTGCTGCATCACTTGAAATATATATGGAGATAGATAGCAGATAGATGAGACATAAAATAGAAATGGCTAGAACATAAAAAACATGGTTAATATTAGCTATTATGTTATTAATGCAATTTTCTTTTGGAGAAGTAATCTTATTGGTTTGTAAAACTCTTTCCATATTTAAATTACATTTTCTCTATTTTTTGTATCTTTGATTCCATTTTGCATTTAATTTTAGTTTTTGTTGGTGTTTTGCCATGTTGAATTGCTTCATATATAATATTTATTGTTTATTCAAATGTATGCACTTTATTCTAACTTCTAAAGTTTGAGCCTTGCTTAGAAAGTCTTAACAAACTCCAGGACTATTTTTTGTAAATCCTGAGGATTCTTATTACATTTGAAATTTAATACTTCAGGTTTACAATTTGGAATTATTTCAATCTAAAAAGCAAAGTAGGGGTTTGATTTTTTAAAATGGCTCATTAATTGCCCCAACATTATCTGCTGAATATATATATAGTTTATAAAATGTGGCCTTTCCCCAATATTTCCAGAACTCACCTGGCACCATACGTAGTTATTACAATATTATTCACTATATTCCTTATGCTGCCTGTGCTTTATGTCCCCCTATTTTGTAACTACCAATCTGTACTTCTCAACTCCTTCACCTTTTTCACCCAGCACCCCAATTTCCCTCCCATTTGGCAACCATCAATCTGTTCTCTATATCTATGAGTCTGTTTCTGTTTTGTTTGGTCTATTAAATTTTTGTTTAGATTCCACACATAAGTGAAATCATATCATATTTGTCTTTCTCTGACTGAATTATTTCATTTAGCATAACATCCTCTAGATTCATCCATACTGTTGCAATTGGTAAGACTTCATTCTTTTAAATTTGCATTTATTTATTTATTTATTTATTTATTTATTTTGGATACAAATTATTTACTTGGATTATCCAAGGTACCCACAAACCTGGCATAGCATAAATGTTGAAAGACAATCACAAATTTCACTACAATTAGAATTGCTTTATAGTCATTTGGTTTTTAATTAAATTTATTGGGGTGACATTGGTTAATAAGATAATATAGGTTTCAAGTACACATTTCAATGATACATAATCTATGTATTGTGTTGTGTGCCCACCACCCAAAGTCAAATTATCTTCAGTCACCATGTATTTGGCCCTCTCTACATTTTACTACCTCATACTCACTCCACCCCTCTTCCCTCTGGTAACCACCATACTGTTGTCTGTGTCCAGCATTCCCTCTTCTGAATATCTACCTGAAAAATTTGAAAACGTACATTCATAAAGATATATGCATCCCTATGTTCATTGTATCATTATTTACGATGGCCAAGAAATGGAAACAACCAAAGTGTTCTTTGATGGGTGACTGGATTAAGAAGATGTGGTACATATATACAATGGGATACTACTCAGCAATAAGGAAAGATGAAATACTGCCATTTGAGAGAACATGGATGGACCTCGAGAGTATCATGCTAAGTGAAATAAGTTGGGCAGGAAAAGTTAAGAACCATATGATTTCACTCATATGTGGGATACAAAACGTAAAGCAACAAATGAACAAACAAGAAAAAACAAATTTGCCTTCATTTTTAAAGGATATTTTGTCTGGCAATAGAGTTCTAAGTTGTCAATTATTTTTCTTCCTTTTTTTAAGATTTTATTTATTCATTTATTTTTATAGAGAGGGGAAGGGAGAGACAAAGAGAGGGGAAGGGAGAGACAAAAAGACGATGTGTGATGGAAACATCAGTTGGTTGCCTCTCACATATGCCCAAACCAGGGGCCAGGCCTGCAACCCAGGCCCATGTGCCCTAACCAGGACTCAAACCAGTGAACTTTTGCTTTGCAGAACAACACTCCACCAAGTGAGCCATGGCAGCCAGTAAACTATTTTTCTTTTAGCACTTTAAATATATTGTTTCATTGTCTTCTGGTTTCCTTTGTTTTGAGTAAAAAAAAAAATCAGTCATTACTTGCATTAGTGTTCCTGCATGCAGGTAATGTATCTGTCTTTTTCCAGTGACTGCTTTTAAGATCTTTATTTCATTTTTTTAACAGAATTTTTTATTGTAATAAGCCTCGATGTGGCCTTCTTTGTATTTATCATAATGGGGATCATACTGTTCTAAAAGAAGTAAAAAAAGTGACATTAATTCCAACATGCCAGACCCACAGTCATGACTTATGGTAATTTGCTCTCAAAGTTTCTGCCTCCAAACACCTTTACATTGGGAGTTAGCAATCCAACAAAGGAGTTAAGAATGGGTGGTAGGGGCATAAACATTTAGTCTGAAACAGAGAGTGAGGCAGCCAATGTCAGATCCAGCACATCCTAGCAGGCAGGGGGCAAAAGGAGAAGTACTTGGTCTTTCTCTCTTCCCACCCACAGAGCTCTTGCCAGTTTTTATCAATGGATGAATACAGTTAAGGTGCTTAAAAGCAAAGAAAGCCTGGATGACTCTACCCACAGGGATTGGACTACCAGGGCATAGAACAGGACAGACAGATGGAGAGGAAGCCTGGATCACTCCTGTCTCAATGAACTCCTCAGCTGAAGTACTAAGGTCAGTAAAAAGAATAAGAGAGAATTTTCCATGATTGCTTATTAGAATTGAGAGTTTATTCTGGGGGTTTGAAGATTGGCCAATGTTCAGATGACTCTTATTTCCTGTGTAGTGCTATCATAGCTCAACTTTGAAATCCAGAAATAAGAGATTACCTTATTCATTTAGCTCCTAAGTTAATAATAGACAGTATATATACTCTCTCTTATGAACTGAATTGTATCTTCCTGAAATTCCTATGTCAAATCCCCAACTGTTAACATGGCTATATTTGGAGGTAGGGTTTGGAAGAGGTAATTAAGGTTAACCAAGGTCATAAGGAAGAGGCCTTAATTTCATAGGACAGGTAACCTCTTAAGAGAGAGACACTAGATCTCTCTCTCTCTCTCTCTCTCTCTCTCTCTCTCTCTCTCTCGCCCCCCCCCCCTTGTGCTCAGATGAAAGGCCATGTGAGAACACTGCAGGGAGGCAGCTGTCAATGAGTCACAAATGAACAGTCAGGAGAAACCAAAATTGCTGGTATTTTGATCTTGGGCTTTTAACCTCTAGAATGACAAGAGAATAAGTCTGAGGTATAGTGTTATGTTTCCTATTCACTTAGACTATATTTCTTACTCTATGGATGAATATGGATCTTTCCTATGGAAGCATCCATGATCTTTGTATAAAGATCTTTCTTGTTTTACAAGGAAATATATAATAACATTAACATATTTTAGTTTAAACTAATATTTCAGTCTAAAGAGCTGAGATGGGCTAAAATCCTGGTCTCTTTTCAGATGAATTATCTTGGAACCTGCAGCCCAAACCCAGGTGACTGAGCACATCATCCTCAGGATAAGGATCTGGGTGACATCAGAGGAGACTGAATGTTCAGGGGGAGGATGCCCTGGACACAGCCTTTCCAGACTGGCTGCCTCTCACCTAGTGAGGAATGTGGACCCAAGGAGGGGATTCCTTCAGTGTCCCTGACCTATGAGTCTTTCCACAGCAGTGTTTCCTGAGCAGCTCTAAAGAGTGATGAGTTAGTGTGAAGTTGGGTTAAACTTTCTGTAGCAAGGACTAAGCTTCTAGGTCCTGAGCTTGGTTCATTTCCTTGAGAAAACTTTAAAATAGAGCCAATACTGCTTAGGGAGAGAATATAACTCTCCCACCCAGGGCTGCCCACAGCCAGTGCCCCACTTGCATTGTTCTGGGTTTGTGCTCAGCTCCCCCTGCAGCCTCCAACACTGTGTCACTCACAGCACAGTAGTATACCGCCGAGTCTGACATTCGCACTGAATGTTTTGTCAGGTGGAAGGAGTTGTCATTCTTCACCAGTTTGGCCTGAAATTCTCTGTTGTGGACCTCCTGATTATCTGATGAGCTTTTCAGGAGAAGAACAGGCTCTTTTTTTGGATATTGGACATACCAGAAAAGATAAACTGAATACCCAGAGCTGGTCTGGTAAGTGCACCTCAGCGTCAAAGTTTTCCCCTCTGGGAGGGTAACAGGGCCTTCTGTCTGGTTCACTGAGTCTCCACTGGTCCCTCCTAAAATAAAAAGTAAAGGCTTTGTTGTATTGGCAATGAAAAGGAATCGTCTCCAGTTTGGTAAGCATCCTAAAACCAGGGGATAGAACACCTTAGAAATCCCGAGAAATGTTACTTACCCAACATCAACAAGATCATAAGTACCAGGCTGGAAGCAGACAGCATGGCTGGCACAGAACCAGCAGCAGGTTTGCTTGGTAATACCACAGCTGAGAGGGCTGTTCCTCTACTTTCGTGATCCTTTGGTGGAACTCCTAGAAAATCTTGACTCGTGTGTTAGGCAAAACAAACTGCTCTGTGAGTTCATGTCACAGGCTATAAAAAGAGGCATGTTCAGAAATGGAAGATGTGTCAAAGCAGCACCCACGGGGAGCAGCGCCCTCTTGTGGTTTCTCCTCTGTCCTGCAGCCTTCCTCACACCTTTGAATTTGATATTTACCTTGGAATGGATCTTAAATTGTGGACATAGAAAGGGAAATAAGTATCTGGGATGAGAGGCAGAGCTCCGGGAAGGAAGCACCCAGCACCTTATGCAGACTTCACGATGGATGAGGCTTAGACAGGGCGCTATTCCTTGGTTACTGTCTTTAAGATTCAGGGCAACATGTCTCCCTGAAGTCCCCCTAGACTGAGCATCTAATGTCTGTGCACACCAAATGTTAAGCTATTTCTAGGCATCTTAAGGTATACTGAGAGTGGAAAATAAACATGATCTGAGTTATCTTCTTGACACATTCCCCCACCACTGGTCTCTGGAACTAGAAGATGAGCCCCTCTGCCTAGAATGTTCTCCCTTCCCTCAACTGCCCTTGCCTAGGTCATTTCCATTCATTCTTTAAGATCCAACTTACATGCCACCTTCCTGTGAAAGCGCCCACCCAGCTCTTCAGGCTGAGTTGGTGCTCCTCTCTTTTCCCACTTTACCTGTGACATATCATCACTGTCATTGCTATATGATAATAGAATCATCTGTGTCCTGTTTTTCATACTGGAGTTGGTGCCCTTGGGATCAGAAACTGAATCTTATGAATCTCAGCAGCCAGTTCCTGAGAACATACAGTTGTACAGTTCATACTTGATGTTCAAAAAAATATCTGAGGAATGAGTGATTACATGAGTGAGTGGACATATCTGGAGGGTATAATTATCTTTTTAAGGAGGTCTGGTCTCCATAAGAACATATGACCAGCTTCTTCCAGAGGCAGAGCCAGGACCTGGGTAACAGGGGCATGCAATGTTTCTCAAAGTACAGGTTTTCATTTGAGGACAATGCTTATAATGACTATTTTTTTTAGGTTTTATGGTGCCTCATATACACAAAAAAAGGAGTTAAACATAAAGGTTTTCTGTCCCCTTACAGGAAACAGACAGCTAATCCATCAGAATCCATACACTATTGTAAAGAAGCTGGGACAGACCAAGAGATGTGGTGAGAGGGCAGGGAAACACTTGTTCCAACTTCCCTGAAAACTGAATAGTATCTCCCCCAGGAGTTATCCAGGGTTCCCACCTTCTGATTGCACCAGAGGCCCCCTCTGGAAGAAGGTACTGGCTGTGTTCTTGAATCATTAAATGAACTACTCCTGGGCCCTGGGCTGATAGAAAGAGGGAAGGGCAGAACAGTGGGGACCAGCCAAATCTGAAGAAGACAGCCACAGACTGTGGATCATTATAGTCTTGAACACGCTACTTAAGTCTAGACTGGGACACCATCTGACATCCCCATGGGTGGGTCTGGAAAGAGAAGGCAGTGGCGAACTCTCAATTCTACTGAGACAAATTCCACCGCTATCTTCATTATTTGAATTATCTTCTCTCTTGCATAGCTTTTTTTGCATTCATTTCTTTTCCTTCAAGTTTGTGCGTATCATTTCACTAGTTGTTTTTTTTAATTTTAGTTTACTCCAAATCTCATATTTTGCTCCTACCTTCTCTTATTCCATTTTCACCTTCTTCCTTTTTCTTCTTATTTTTTGTTTTAAATTCTATTTTCTCTCTTGCTACAACTTGTTTCTATTCTGCACTCTTACTATTTCTTCTCCCTCCTGCCTCTTGAAACCATTTTTCTTGTCATTAGTGATTTCCCATTCTTTTTCCCATTCTTAAAAGTATGTTTATTCTCTCTCCACCTTTATCAATCTTTGCTCACTGCTTGTAGATAAGGTGGTTGTTGCTGCATTCCTTCAATTTCATTCCTAGATCTTCACTATTTTTGTATTTCATGTCTCAAATTTTACTATTCCCCTCTCCTACTCCATTTTGCCTTCCTCCTGTCCTTTCTTTATATTGTTTTACATTTTATTTTCTTCCTGTTTTAGCCTGGTTTTCATTCCTCTCTCTTGGTATTTCTTCTCCCTCTATCCTCTCAAAATCACTTTCCTTTCCTCTAGAAATCCCATGAGTTTTTTTTTTCCTTCTTAGATGCATTCCACCAGTAATAATCTTTGCTCATTTGCTGTTGATATTGCTGTGGAGAATTTTTTTCTTCATTATGGTTCCTATTTTTTTCACTATTGTTTTTAAGTTTTCTTTTATTTTAAACCCCAAACTATACTCTTCCCTTTTATTATTCAATTTTTGCCTTCTCCCCCTTTTATTAATTATGATGTAATTTCTATTTTCTTTCTTTCTTCACTTTGTTTCTATTCCTTACTCTCATTATTTCTCCTCCCTCTATCCTCTCAAGTCATTTTTTATTTCAGTTAGTCATCTCATATTCATTTTTCTTTTCTTATAATAGTCTTAATTTTTTTTATACCTGTATTAATATTTTTCTCATTTGCTATTGATAGCATGGTTGTGGGGGGGGGGCGGTATTTTTTTCAGGTATGGGTTTAATTTCCTGGGTTGTTTTGCTTTGTTCTGGCACCACTTGTACAAAAGCATACAAGACATGGTTGGCAGTGTGACTCTCAGCCAGCCAGCTGGAGGAAGAACCCACCAAAGAATGACCAAACAACAACCAAACCCAATTACAACAAGAGAGCCCACATAAATGGCATCCTAATAGCATTCAGCTCAATAGATCAAGGAGACTGCACCACAGAGTCTCACAGGTCTCCTATCACAGAAGGTCACACAACAAAGACAGAGAATCCAAGAAAATCAATCTAGTATGTGGAAACAAACAAGAAGAGTCACTCGAAAATGGGGAGACAAAGAAACAATCCCCAAACAAAAGGAAAAAAAGGAATCCCCAGAAAGAGTGTTAAATGAAATACAGGCAAGAAATCTATCAGACACTTAGTACAAAATAATGGTTAGAAACTCAGTGAGAACCAAAAGGAACTTTATGTAAGTGCCAAGGAACTTATTGGGAACTACATCACCATGAAAAAGACATAGAAACTATCAATAAGAGACTGTAGGAAATGAAGAATACAATACCTGAGATGAATAATACAATAGAGGGAATTACAAACAGGCTAGATGAAGCAGAGGATTGAACCAGTGAGCTAGAATACAAAGTAGAAAAAACGACCCAAATGGAGCCACAAAATGAAAAAAGACTAAAAAAATAATTAATAATGTCTAAAGGTGCTTCAAGACAACAGGAAACCTAGTAATATTCACATCATGGAGATACCACAAGGACAAGAGGAGCAGAAAAGGAATAGAAAAAACTGTTTGAAAACGTAATGGTAGAAAACTTTCCTAACTTGATGAGGCCAAAAGTCACACAACTCTAGGAAGCACAAAGTATCCCAATCAACATGAACCCAAAGAGATATCATAATTAAAAGGGCAAAATTTAAAGATCAAGAAAAACTCTTAAAGGAAACAAGGGAGAAATAGTTAATAACCTACAAGGGAACTTCAATGAGACTATCAGCTGATTTTTCAACAAAAATACTATAAGCCAGAACAGAATGGCAAGAAGTATTCCAAGTAATGAAAGGCGAAAGCCTGCAACCAACACTACTCTACCCAGCAAGGCTCTCATTTAAAATGGAAGGTGAAATTAGGAGTTTCCCAGACAAAAAAAATAAATAAATAAAACCTAAAAGAGTACATCTCCTCCAAACCAGCATTGCAAAAGACACTAAGGGAACTGTTCTAAGAAGATAAAGAAAAAGGAGAGAGAGAGTAATGCAGGTACAAGAAGAAAAACTGCAATGAATAAGTACTCATCAACAATAATCGTAAATGTAAATGGGATTAAATTCTCCAATTAAAAGACAAAACACAAAACATGACCCACATATATGCTTTCTACAAGAGACCCATATCAGAAAAAAAAAGACCTACATAGACTGAAAGTGAAGGGGTGGAAAAAATATTCCAAGTAAATGGATATGAAAAAAGGCTGTGGTAGCAATAATTATATCAGATAAAATAGGCTTTAAACAAAAACCATAAAAAGAGACAAAGAAAGACACTACATAATACTTAAGGCAGTAGTCCATCAAGAAGATATAACCATTGTAAACATACATGCACCCAATGTAGGAAAACTTAAACATAAAAGAAAAAATTTCGAGTAAGATATCAACAGCAACACAGTCATCATAGGGATTCTAACATCCCATTGTCAACAATGGACAGATATTACAAGCAAAGAATCAGTAAGGATATGGTGACACTGAACAAAACACTACATCAAATGGACTTAATTGATATATATGTATACACACATGTATATGCATATAAATGTGCACATACACATGCATATGCGCATACTATATGTATATGTGTGCACATATGCACATGCATATGTATATACATGTGTGTATACACATATATGTGCATGTGTGCACATATACATGTGTGTGCATATAATTGGTGTGTGTGTGTGTACACACACACACACACACATAGAACGCTTCACCCCAAAGAAGCAAAATACTTGTTCTTTTCAAATGCACATGGGACATTTTCATAGATAGGTGTCATGGTAGTGCACAAAATAAGCTTCAACAAATTTAAGAATATTGAAATTATATTAAGCATCTTCTCAGATCACAATCACTTGAAACTAGAAACCAACCTCAAGGAAAAAATTCAAATGCCTTCAAATTCATGGAGACTGAATAACATGATATTTAACAATGAATGGGTTAACAATGAGATCAAGGAAGAAATAAAAAAGTTTCTGAAATCAAATGAAAATGAACACACAACAGCCCCAAAACCTATGGGACATGGCAAAGGCAGTTCCCTTAGTTCCCTAAGAGGGAACTCATATCAACATAGGCCTACCTAAAAAAGATAGAAATATATCAAATAAACAATCTGATCCTACATCTACAACTAGAGGAACACAAACAAACAAAGCCCAGAGTGAG